AGGCACCTTGAGCCAAAATGGCTACGGTCTCTCTCTCTCTCTCTCTCTTTACCTTACCGGTGCATGGAGGAGGAACGAGGCCGTCTGCGTGCCACGAAGGGTGAGGCTTGCGAAAGTCCTACTGCCGCTCCTCGAGGTGCATGCCCTTGCAGAGTTACACTTGTTGATGCACTGCTCGAGGGTCCTGAGTATCTTCCTGCGACAACTGCTTGTACACACCGATCAGGTCTGTGAGAAGATCCTGTCGAACACCGCTTGGGCAGTTTCGAACGCTGATGACAAACCCAGCTGCCTGCTTCGCGCAGACCGAGACGAAATCACGCATCTTGTGTGCCGCAGCACGGCGCACCATGGGCGTCTCGTCGGCACACAGCATTGTAAAGGCCTGGCAACCGATGCAGCAAGTCATGCCAATCTGAAGTGCCCTCGGTACATTGAGAATTTACCAGAACAGTCGCAGGGATCACTCGGCGCAAGCCCATTTTCTGATCGTCTTTCACCTCATATCTTTTGCGACAGCTGCAAGCAAAAAGGGCCACTCCCGCGAGCTCGTGACATGACGGTAGGCAAGGGGAAGAAGCGCCTCAGGAGCACGTCGAGCTGCAACAAGCAAAATCGAGACCAGGCCGGCAGCTAATGTGTGCCATGACCAAGGTCCAAGAACCTCCTCGTTTGCTATGAGCACCGAGGAGTCCGCGCAGGCAGACACACGAGCAGTGAAGAAGTCGGTCTTCGTGGCCAGACGATGAAGAGTTGGCACCTGACACAGGAAAATCCGAAAGGGTTCAGAGTTGCCTCAAAACGTCTCCGTCTCTGACAGGCACGAAGGCAACGTCAAACAGCTGAGAGATGCTGAGAGTACTGCCAAATGCTCCGGCGCCAGCGCAGGCCTTCAAGGCTCAACTTCTCAAAGACGCACTTTCGACATGCTGTGCAAAATAGCACAGCCACGAGCTTCGAACCTCTACACAGAGGCACCAAAGCATCTATTGACCAACAGAACCTCCTCCTTTCTTTGCGATCGCGAGCAAATGGCGATGTCAGAGAGTTTCAGTGCCTCAGCCTTACCCGCAGAGCGGAGACTCGAGGCTCAGAATAAGATACAGTCGTAAAAAGTCAGAATCTGAACGAGTGGCATTCTCCCCGTGTCTACTCATCCGGACACAACGTCCTGGCAACCACTGCAATGGCTTTCCCTCCGTCCGAGGTCTTTCCTGAAACTCTGACATGACATGCCGTTACATAGGGGCAGCTTCATGGAACAGTTTGCAGAACGATTTCTGGTCCTTGGATGAATAGAAGCATGCACACTGCTGCTCTGTTGCCTCAGCTTCCCGCCCCGTTTAGCGCTTTTGGTCTATAGCATATCTGCGGTTGGTGTGGAACTGAGGACGAAAACAGACACTATGAAATAAACACTGGTCTGTGGTTAAAAGCTTACTGCAAGGGCACGCCTCTGCCTCTCCGAAGCAAACTGCACTGCATGACCGAGTGGCCCGGCTGCCGCAGTAGGAATAAGAGTCTCTTCAAACGTGGAAAACACTTCGTTTAATTATTTTTGTCTGGTAGACTGCGGTTTAAAAAAATATACAGTACGCACCCGCCACTGGCAGGTGGACTTGGGAACACGCACACACGCCGATCCACGCTACATGTGCAGAGCAGCCAAGTCCGATGGAACAATTAGGAAAAAGCATGCAAGCATCCGAGAGGAACCGATCTTGCTAGTCGGCCAAGCGCAAGCATGTGCTCGACGGCCATCCAGCTCAGGGTTCAGTGGATCTGGGCACTCATCACGTCGAGAGCTTCCTTAAGGCAGAAGACGGGGCCCTGGCTGCTCAAGAGCTCCAGCACCTGGCAGTGCGGCGCTTTGAAGGTGGCAGAAGCACACTTTCCGATTGCCAACGGCCCAACATGGCCCAACATGGCCCGGCCTTGCCACGCTGCTGTGCGGGGGCCTTGGACTTCGCGGCGAAGTCCAGAGCTGTTCTTCCACGCGACGTTCTCTGCGTGGGCGGTGCCCCGGCGGCTAAGAGGAGGCGGACAATTTCACAATCTCCCACCTCGGCCGAGTCATGCTGGTCTTACGCTGCGTGCACCCCTGAAGTGAGTGAAAGGCTGGTTAAAGCACCCCTGCCTTGGCCGCCAAGTGAAGTGGGTAGATGGTCTCGGCTTGGAAGAAGCAGCTGGACCCTAAGCGTGGCTCAAACTCGTCTGCGAAGCCGTTTGACTTCAAGAATTCCTGCAACCGCTCGCGTTGACGCAGCTTCCGCAGCTTCGACTTCGCCCTTCCACCCAAACTAGGAGGCTGATTTTGCTGCTTCTGCTCTGACTCCTTAGCCTGCAGTTCGGCCACTTTGGCATTGCCAGAGTGCAGCCAGTTAGCCACACTCTGAATCGAACTTCTGGTCGACGTGCTTGTGGTACCTGGCACACCAAGCCGCTCCTCCCATGAGTTCACAACCGGACATGGGCTCGTCATCACTGCAGATCCTTGAGCAAGCACAAGCATTGCTATTTCAGCCGATACGGCTGCAAAGATGCGGACTTGTCAACCAGCACATTGCTACACAGAATGATGTAGAATTCTGCCCAAAGAAAGCAGGCGTGTGGCTGTGCCAAGCCTCTTTTCAATGACCTTGCACAAGGATTGGATAGCCTGGCATCACGGGCAGATTTTGTACGAAGGAACACAGAAGATTCTCTCTGCCTGGTCTCGGATGACCGTCTCCTCTTGGGCTGCCAGGTGCTCCAAGGGTGCTATAAGCCTAAGAAACGGGAAACCTCACCCTGACCTTCTGAACAGCATGTGAAGCTTGCAAGACTGAGCTCATGACAAGTCGTCGTGCCCATTGATGTAGTCAGACAGTACTGCATACTGCCTGGACCGACAGGTTCGCCACCGTGCGATGGGTCGATCTAGGAAAACCACGATGCCACGGGCTGCTAGACGAATGCTAGATGTGTCACGTGCATGTGTTTCCGGCCCCCGAAATGCCCCTCTGCATCCCTCTGCCATTTGTCCTCCGTCCCTACACCCTCCACGGAGTGACACGGCCTTGCCATAGAGTACAGAAATTCGTCGTCGTTGCACAGAGGCTCCTCTTGCACCACCTGTCAGCGCTGATTTCTGCATAGCCAACATAGGTATTGAAGACGTACGCAAAGCTGGATGCAGATTCAGCAACCACATGAAGAAAGGGCTTACTCCCTTGCGGGGCAAAGTGACCAGCAACTCGAGCTTTTTGGCATCCGACCACACCTGTACGACGTAAGGAATCAACTCGGCCACCGTCCTGTTCGGCCCCAGAGCCTCAGCAGTTGAAAGGCCAAGAGTGCTCAGTTGGGATGGCCATGCCCCTCTCCAGGAAAATGACATCACATTCACATCCGATAGGTACGAGCAAAAAAAAACACTACCGTGACCAACACCACGCTCCCCCCCCCCGCATGTGCAGGTCACGTCGGCTTTTGCATTCCGCACATCGCCCTTGGGTCGCGACCGAGGCGATGAGATGCAGGTTGTTCACCGCGCCTTCGACTGCTCTAGCAGTCCGCTTGAAGCATTTACTAGGGCATTAAGCTTGTGCCTTTCGCCTAAGTCTGCTGACTGTCGAAGCACTGATCGGATCTTAGGGAGGTGCCGATTTTGATGGTCGCATTCTCATTTCTGATTTCTTCCTTGAAGAACTCCAAATAGTTGAAGTCCGTGCCTGTGTTTCCTGATTTAACGAACCAGGCAAGTCACTATCCAGACGTGCTTGCCTTGGCACGAGAAACAGACCTGAGCCAACGACCAGCCATGGCTGGTGATCACTTGAGGAGCTCACAACAAAGCTTGAGCCCTCACTCCTTGTGCCACATAGCGTCAGCCCGGCTGTGTTTTAGTGCGATCTCACTTCAATCGTCACTGGGGAGAGCCTCTCACGATGCAACCCTGCACATCACGGCACACATCATCTTGTGGGCAACGCGCTGCTCTTTTTTAGCTTCAAGATGCCTTCTGGATGTGGCTCGAACCGAAATGTACAGTTGCAACCAAGCCTTTGCTAAATCCCCGTTCCGAGAAAGTTGCAACTTCAAAAACTCCGGGTGGGAACAGCTTAGACTGCCTCACCCTCGCCGCTCTTGCCCCAGTGGTCCCAGCATCCATTGCCCTTGCGCTGGGTGTAGTAGGCTGCGGCTCGCTCGTCGCCCTTGAACGGCACCTGATGTTTTCATGCTTTCACACGAAGACTAGAGGCAGCCAAGGATCCAACTCTGCCCCGATTTCCCCCCCCCCCCTCTCCCTGCAATGCTACGCCGGCCTTGACGTAGCCCGCGTACTCCTCCAGCTCACCCTTCTCGTTCTTCTTCCAGGTGTAAGTATAGCTCTCGGTCTTCTTCGCCGGCTTCAACGGAAGGACATACAGGCCGCTAGGGTGAGACATCTCAGGGTCATCCTCGTTCACCCACTTGGAGCCAGCCATGCGCACCACGGCACCCTCCGGCCTGCAGCCTTTCAGTGCAGATCCGGTGAAGCTTGGGCCCCAGGCCATGTAGGCCAGGGCGCCCAGCACCAGAAATCCGGATCCGGCCTCAGACAGCTCTGCAAGAGATCCTTCTCTCTGCTCGAGACTTGACTGGAGGCCCTGACAGGACGCCTCATTGCAGACCTGCGTGAAGGGAGGCAAGCACACGCTGAGCCGAAGCTGCGGTAGCCATGTCCGCAAGCCGTGTCTGCTGATTACTGGCTCTGGTTGCT